ACAAAAATCCGTATGTAGACCAAATTGTACGCAGAATTTCGTTCAGCGGTTATAATCTCTAGCAAATCAAATCTTGATTTGAAGGTTGTGTATATAGATGCTGGTGAAACTGGTGAACCTCTTGGTGAATGGTGGCGAGACTGGTGAAATTTAATATAACAGCCAATCAGATTTTAGATAGTCACCAGTTTCACCAGCGTTATTTAGTTCCACCAGCATCTATAGTTGTGTATTATAAGTTGATATATATTCGATCAACTCAACACGGTGGAATTGACTTATAATGTAATTTGATTCGTTTAATACTTGCATATCACAGTAAGATATCACAGTACTGCAGTAAGATCAACGATAGTAAAAAAAAATATAAAATTCAAACTTTTGAACTAGCAAATAAAATTATATTTATTGGGTTTCTTTAAAGATATAATGCTCTTTTTTTACGATCTTAAAAATAATTTTAATAGTTGATTTTAATTTTAACATGTGAAATTAAAAAAAAGAGCATCGGTACTTTAAAAGAGAATATTAAAACAATCCCGAAATATAATTTTATTTTGGTGGGTTTGTTGACTTAGAAATTATTGCAATTTAAATTGTATGTTTTTTAATTACATCATTTACATATAAAAAAATCTTTATTATTAGAATTTGCATTATGTAATTGTACTGCTATTGGATGTTGGGAACATCTATACATCGAACTTGAACATGTTTGCTAACTTTGAACCCGAACAAACTTTAATTGTGTTTGAGTTTAGTTCAAGTTTGGGCATTACGAGTTCAGGTTTGGATTTGGGTTTGAAATAGATAAAATATACTGTTTGAGTTTGGTTCAGGTTTGGATTTGGGTTTGAAATAGATAAAATATACTGGTTCGAGTTTGACCAAACTAGTGATCCAAATCGTTTATTTGAAAATCAACTAGTTGACAACCTTCCAACTAATCGATTTAGAAAAATTTAAAACAACTAATCGATTTAATTGTCAACTAGTTCAATTCCGAAATATTCTGTCTAGTCGGGTAATCCGTGTTAATTTCTTTAGTTTGATTGGCTAATCGGCAAATTTTGTCACATGATATGAAAAATCGATTATAGTTGACAACTAATCGATTGGCAAAATTTTTTATCAACTAGGAACACTAGACCAAACCCATTACAGGGGTGTGGCATTATCAAAAAAGGGTGTGAAAATATAAAATATTAATTCCCGAGAATAATGTGTGTGATACTGTCGACTAAGAATAATAAAGAAAGCAAGAATTTAATAACATATAATTCCGTCTAATAAAAATTTAAAAGCAAAGATTTAATATGTTTGACTTTATTCAATAAGATTTTAAAGAAAGCAAAAAAATCAAAGACTAATTATAATCTGTCCAAGACAATTTTAAAGAAAGCAAAAAAATCAAAGACTAATTATAATCTGTCCAAGACAATTTTAAAGAAAGCAAAGACTAATTATAATTTGTCCAAGACAATTTTAAAGAAAGTGAAAAAAACAGGCTAATTATGATACCGTTTAATTACAATTTTAAAAGTAAAGGCCTTAACGATAATTTTAAAAACATAAAGGCAAACAAATCAAAATGATTTCGTATGTTTAACCTGAAGGTGTTTCAGTTTAGTTATTTTTCAAGCACGTGCCAATAAATTAGTAAAAAAGCACGAATTTTACGTAAGATCTGTATAATAATGTGATATTATCATTAAGCCAGCTTTATGATAATGCGACGTTATGATTCAACGAATAAATATTTAAAAAATCTAACGCAAACATTTGCCAAATAATTAAATATGAATGAATAATGAATGAATGAATGAATGAATGAATGAACGAAATGGTGGTTTTCCATCGCTATTTATCTGTAATAAAATAATTTCTCGTTGCGTTAGAAATTTGCTTCTATATATCAACAATTTGTTCACTGCATTAATTTGCCTTACTAATTTGTGTATACTACTATGAAGATTAGAAAATTGATTGTCAGGTTGAATATTAAGAGAAAGGAATGTTGTTGTTATTGGATATAATATGTTGTATAAATTTTGCTTCTGTGTATCCAAAAATTGGTCCATTGTATGTTTTATTGCATCAAAACTTTTCTCAAAAATTGCTTCTGTGTATAAAGCCCTTGCATTCCTAATTCTTGTATACTATATGAGAAGTAGACAATTGATTGTCAGGTTGGATATCAAGAGAACTTGGATTAGAAGAAAAGTTGTTATTTGGTATAGGTTGTTGTGTATCAGATTGATTAGATTGTAAGTGTAAATTAGTACTAATATCAGGTTGAATGCCAAATAAGCTTAGATTATAAGGAAAGTTGTTGTTTGGTATAGTTTGTTGTATATCAGATTGATTAGATTGTAAGTATAAATTAGTACTAATATTAGGTTGAATGCCAAATAAGCTTAGATTATAAGGAAAGTGGTCGTTTGGTATAGTTTGTTGTGTATTAGATTGATTAGATTGTAGGTGCAAATTAGTACTAATATCAGGTTGAATGCCAAATAAGCTTAGATTATAAGGAAAGTGGTCGTTTGGTATAGTTTGTTGTGTATTAGATTGATTAG